AGGAAATACGGTGAATTTTTAAGTCAAATTACATTTCATCAAGGTTCATGCTGATGAACTTTGTAGCTTCAGTTCCATGACTGTAAGATGTTTATAAATATTGTGTTTGACTTTTCCATTGTAAATTACATTCAGATTAGAAAGTTAATATACTATATTATATGAAGAATTTTACAAGTGGAAGGGATATCAGCAGTCAGCCTAACCTTTGTTGAAGTTGTGGCAGGACCTTGTCCACACTTCATGTACAATGCTAAGTATCCCTTTTAAATTCAGATTTTTACATTGTCCCAGAGTGGTCGTTACATTCATTGTACTATGGTAAATGAATTGAATTTAGGAAATTGCATTGTATACTTAGTGGGATATTCTCTCTCAAGTTTTGTATATCTTGAAAATAGCTGCTGTTAGTCCTTTCCCTCTTCCATTTTCTATTTTGTTTGCTCCCAGTTTTTTTCTTGTTACCGCTACTTTTTCTGATAAGTGTTTTCTTTTTCCCTTTGTTCTTATTTTACCTATATTTGCCTCTTTTTTTCTGGCTTCCAAATCTGGACAATTGAGCTTCTGTTTTTCTTTGGTCAATTTGACAAATTAACATACTCAATTACCTGTTAAGTCTTACAATTAACTTAATTCAGTGAACTCTATCTTTTATATCTTTCATTAGAGTTTAATGAGACCATCTGATTTAGGAATATTCTCTACAGAACATCCAAGTGATTCTTTCATTTCTCAGCAAAATCTCTATAAGAGTGAAACTCACTATCTGCCTGAGTAGCCTGTTCAAGCTTGGACCATTCATATAAGTTTTCTCATATTGAGCAGACATGTGCCTCTTGGTAAACTTAACTAATCTTGTCTTCTGCAGTCATTCATACATAGTGTTTGAATCTTCATGACAGTTTCTAGTTTCCTCATCATTTTTGCTTGCTTTCCTGGATACTCTCCAGTTTGAAAATGCCTGTCTTGGTACGTTTAAAAAAAACCAACAACAACGCACTCTAGATTTGGTCTTGTATGCCCAGTGTAGAAGTGAATCATTTTCTTTAACTTCCTAATTTTATTAGTATTTTGGAATCACATCCTTTTTAGTAGACATAACACCCAGAGAAAATGTAAGAGTAGTAGTACAGGTCGGATTGCCTAGATAGAGTTGTATCTTCACAAGTTAACTGTGGTTTTAAACACAGTGAATTATATTGCTGGCTCCTTTGTCTTTTATAAGAGATAATTGTTGTTTCTACCTCATAGGTAAAGTTACGGAAAGATCAAATTAAATAGTTCATATAAAATGCTTAATTGAAGTGTCAAAATATCATGTTTGTTACTGAAATGATGTTATGGGTTTTTTTTCTGATTTGTCTATTGCATAACAAACCAATCAAAACTTAGTAACTTAGAGCAATATTCTTGTGATTCTGTGGATTGCCTCGACTTTGTTGGCCAGTTCTTCACATAGTATTGGCTGAGGTCACTCATTGCTCTGCATTCAGCTGGGGCTGAAATAACCAATTGGCTTTGCTTGATAACATCTGTCTAGACTGGAGCTGACTTGGCCTTTCTCTCCAGCAGGGTAGTTTGACTTTTGGGATGCTGGCTCGGGGCCCCAAGAGAGCAAAAGGGGAGGTTGCCAGTCCTCTTAAGGGTTAGGCCCAGAACTGGAACTGCAGTCACTTCCGCCCCATTCTGTTTGTCAGAGCAAGTCAACAAAGTAAGCTCAGACTCTGGGGAAAGGAAATAAATTCTACTTCTTGACAGGAGGAGGAATGGCCTGCAGGAGAATAGGGTTGACAGGGGAATTGGTGGAGCCATCTTTGGAAGACAGTCTACCACAGTTCTGTTTTTTCCTAATTAGCTTTCTGAACTAATGTGTTAGTCCCTTTAATCTTTAATCAAGTCTTTCTTGCTTTTTATTTTTCAAATCTTAATGGTTCTTAGCATTATGTAATTGGAAGATTTGATAGAGGTATGCCATTTACCCTTTCTCAACTTCTTTTATTTTTAACAGCTTTATGGAGGTATAATTGACATACAAAGAACTACACATATTTAATGTGTACAGTTTAATGAGTTTGTTTCCTTAGTTTTTTTAAAAAAAATTTATTTTTCCACTTGGTTTACATTCAGTATTATTTTGTATTAGTTTAAGGCATAGTGATTAGTCAACTCCCCAACCTCCCTATCCCTGATCAACTTACATAGTCATCATTTTACCAGAAACATTTGCCATGATTGATACTTGGTCTGTTTGTCCATAATTAGGCCAATAAACAGCCTGACTATTGTTATCCCAACCTTTTTGTTACTTGTAGGTTCTGGTTAATAGATTTAGTATTATTTTTTTGTTGTTGTTCTTTTAATTGATGCAATAACTAATTTGGTGTTCACCTTGGAAGAAGATGTGTTTACCTACTGTTTTAAAAATTCTCTGTGTGAGTTTACCTTTGTGTAAAGCAGCATTTTTGGGGATACAGAAATTACTACTCATACAAGATGGATTGCTAATTCTCATAACATTTATTGGCACCTTTTCTAAATAACTTATACAAGTTTCCTGATGTATACTTCAAAGTTTTACGTCTTTTAAATGATTCACCCTTAACTATCTGCATGTTGGTGGCCTGCATCTTTACATATATAGAGTGGGTTAATGTAATTGAAAATTGAGGACATGACTAAGCAGTGTTACTCTTAGTTTCAGTTGTCTTCCCTGCTAGACCACTTATCCACAAACTAGAGACAGTCTTGCTCACCATTATAGTCTCAGTACCTAGCACAGTGGCATTTAAAATGAATTTGGAGAATAAGTGAATGTACAAAATGTTGAAGCTGTAAAATATGAAATAGAAATGCCTAAGTAGAGAATGGATTTCAGACTGGGCTTAGCTATTACTGCTTATGTTATTTGAAAATATCTTCAGTATCTTAATATCATAAATATATGTAAATGAGCCAGAGAGCAGAGTTCATAATTGAATTGTATGTGAAGCCTTCTTTAAATTTATATATTTTCACCCATTATTTAATTTGAAGTTATTTTTGAATTCTAGTTAATCACATTACACTGCTCCTTGTTACACTTCATAGTTTAATTTTTAGCTTAGCCAATCAAAAAAGAATTTGCCTTAAAAGTGTGAAGTTGCCACAGCTTAAACTTAGACTGGTTCAAAAGTCACTGTGCTATATATCATGTCCCGTAGTTGAGTGAATAATGTGTTACACTAAAAGGGCCTGCTCATTTGTTTCTAGTTTTTTAGATTTTATTTATTTTTAGAGAAGGAGGGGAAAGGGAGCAAAACATCTCTATGTGGTTGCCTCTCACGCCCCCACTACTGGGGACCGGGCCCACAACCCAGGCCTGTGCCCTGACTGGGAATTGAGCTGGCAACCCTTTGGTTCGCAGGCTGGTGGTCAGTCCACTGAGCACACCAGCCAGGGCTCATTTGTTTCTTAAGTGGGGAGAAAAAAACAAAACCCCACTTGTTGTATTAAATGGAACCATCTTTTTCTGTGTGAAGCAGACCCCCAAAGAGCAGCCATGGTGGTCAAAGTGTGTTCATGCCCCAAAGAGCATGTTGTTCAAAGGACAGAATACTTGAGGCTGAGAGACCTTTGAATATGAAGGTATGGGTATGGTGTTTATAACAGCAATTTTGTTATCCTAATCAAAGTACCCTTCTGATTTCAGGCCAGTAGTTTTAAATACTGGTTAATCACAGGGGACATTTCTGTCACCCTCGTTTCGTTTTTTAAATACAGTACAGCTTAGCCTTACTGCCACATTGGCCACTACTCACTTCATCTGGGTTTCTGTAGCTTACTTACCTCTGACAAAGGAGGGAGAAGGTGAGTTAAATCCTATTTATACCCACTCACCATTGGAAAATAACAATGGGGTAAACAATACAAAGTTAAAGTTGTTATTTAAAAAGCATTTTTTAAATATTATATTGCATATGAAAGTGACTGCCAGAAGAATAGAAACCAAAGATTTTAGATACCCTTTTTCCTTGTAAAAATTGACTTGTTTAGGGCTAGCCCCAGTTGAAGACTGACTTTCACCTTGATTTTTAAAGTATATTTAGTAAGGGGAAATGAGTGATGAGATTGTTTTGTTTAAACATTTTCCTAATTCTACTGGAATTTTTTTCCCATTAAGAGGAAAAAAAATCACTAGGTTATTGTTTCTTCTCCCCCTAATATGCTGATCTCATTTTTGCTTAAAATCAATTATAGAATATACTTACTAGCATGTTAGGATTAAAATTAGTTGAGATTTTTTGTTTTTTTTTTAGTTAGAAGCTTTCTCTCTTTGGAGTGATTTCTAGACATATATCTTATTAGCTAGAAATCCCTTTAGTGAAATTAAAGGTTTACTCTTCAGAACTGTAATTTTCATAAGTCTACCACTGTGTTGGTTAAGAAAAATAAAACTTCAAAGGTCTTTATGTGTTGTGAGGTGTTCCTTGAATTGTGTTCTTATAAATGAAGTTAATTTTATTTTCTCCGTCATGGACTCTGGTAGTTTTTACTATATTATTAATTTCTGCTCAAGTCATATTCCTCTAAAGTCCCAAAAGATTCATGAATCTCTTACATTTTTTTCCTTTGTAATATTATGACTACCTTGAAAATGGTAGAATATAGTATTTTCTACTTTGCCACCTTGCTAGAAAATGTTAGAACTACCACTGAAACATGAAGTCTGTATTAGCATGTAAACAGATTATACTATGGAAGGGGGGAGAGTAATATTCAAAAGTATGAACGTTAAATAATAAACTGAACACACTGACTTCAAATTTTAAGTGTTGCTGTCTAAAGCATTCTTTTTTTTTTTCCCTTTTGCCCACAAATTCACGAGCCTGCTACATTCAACAATTATTGGTGATGACTATATTAAAACTTTATAACTTAGGCTATTTTTCTATGCTGTTAAGAAATACAGATTCTTTTAGTTTTGTGGTTTTTTCTTATTATTACTTTCTTTTCTTCCCAAGTCTCTCTTGGAAAAGTTCTTGATCCCCAATGCTTCACAAGCAGAGAGCAAAGTCTTCTATTTGAAAATGAAAGGAGACTACTACCGTTACTTGGCTGAGGTTGCTGCTGGGGACGACAAAAAAGGTATGCTGTGTTTCTAACCTGTTTGTTGAACTTGTATAAAATAATATTATGGAAGTGGTCTCTTTCTAAAGCATAAGCAGGTTTTTATGGGGGTGGGGTTGGTCGTTGTTGCCCTTTTTTTAAGATTTTATTTATTTTTAGAGGGGAAAGGAGGGAGATGGGGAGAGTGAGGAGTATCAGGGTATGAGAGACACATCAATTGGTTGCCTCCACACACCCCCAACTGGGGACCTGGCCCTCAATCCAGGCATGTGCCCTGACTAGAAATGGAACCAGCGACCTTTCATTTTGCTGGCTGCAGCTCAGTCAACTGAGCCACACCAGCCAGGGTTTTTTGTTGCTTTTTAATTGCTTAAAGTACTAAATGGAGAACAGTAATACGCTTTCTTTCTCTATTTTTTTTTTTTTTTGTTCAAGTCCTGAGACTATATATCTACTGTCCAAATGTATGCTTGCAGAAAAGCCAGCTTTGTGCACAGGAATGTTTCATGATAGTTTTCAGAAACCAGTCACAGCATAATTGACAGCAGTGCAAACTAATCAAATGTAATAACGAGATGATTACAGAATGATGTTTGTCTTGACATTGACCAATAGCTAGTATGGTGGTCTGGAAGAAGCTTGTTTTTTAAATTAAATAACTTCATTCAATTAAGGTTGCTACAGCTTAATATTTTATAGGATATTGTTGGATATTAAAGGTTTGACTTGAGGGATGGAGGTGAAGTGCAAGTTTTATTCAGTACATTTTGATGTGTTTTATTATCCAGGGATTGTGGATCAGTCACAACAAGCATACCAAGAAGCTTTTGAAATCAGCAAAAAGGAAATGCAACCAACACATCCTATCAGATTGGGTCTGGCCCTTAACTTCTCTGTGTTCTATTATGAGATTCTGAACTCCCCGGAGAAAGCCTGTTCTCTTGCAAAGACTGTATGTATTTTACCTCTTATATGGAAATATAATGATCGTTACTACTTGAGCACTGAAATGTACTTTTTTAAATCATAGGCTTTTGATGAAGCCATTGCTGAACTTGATACATTAAGTGAAGAGTCATACAAAGACAGCACGCTAATAATGCAATTACTGAGAGACAACTTGACAGTAAGTACATAATAGCATCATTAATGGTTAATGTGGTTGAAGAGGTGTTGTGTAGATTACTACAAGGAATATTTTTGCTTTTTTTTTCTGATTAAATACAAGATCTATCTGCTGTTAAATAAGACTGGCAGAAAAGTAAAACATCTTATGTACAGAAACTGAAATATTAGACCAAAGACTAAAAATGTAAAATTTCATTAGTTAAATATTTATTTTTAAAATAATTTTGTCCAGGTTTGATTTCTGGTAAGAGTACATATCTAGGTTGCAGATTTGATCCCTGGTCAGGGCCTGTACAGGAAATAGCCAATCAATGTTTCTCTTTCTCTCTCCCTTCCTCGCTCTAAAAATCAATGAACGTATCCTCAGGTGAGGATTAATAATAATAAATAAAATAAAAATAATTTTGTTATCCATGACTTTCAACTTTTAAACATGTAGACCATTTTATTTTCTATTCCAATCTGGGTAATTCCTTTTCTTCCCCTCCATTTTAGTCACAGAGAGCTTGGCTTTTAGCATCATAAGTATATTGACGTTCTATTTATGTTTAAGTTCCATTAAAAAGTTTTATTGACTACAAATAACCTCCATATTTATACAGCTATGGTAGGGGGTTAACAACTTTGCTTACAAAATTTCAGATACTTTGCAGAATCCAAATAGGAATCTGCTTTGCCTAGTCTGTTTATAAAAAATCCTGATTATCTTTGGTATACTCCAGACAAAAAAAAGACCACATTGCCCTTACCACACTAAATTGACAGTAATTCCTTAATTATGTTAACTGTCTTAGTAGTGTTCAAAATCTAGTTGTCTATTTTTCATAAAATCCACACATTGTAGTTTGTTGATACATCTCTCTGGTCCCATAGGTTTTCCCATTCTTCTCCAGATAAGTTACCAAGTATCTGCTGTGTGCCAGGGTAGATAGCTAGGAATGAAGATTATAGTTTAGTGCTACTGGTTTTTCTTTTTCTCTTGGGGACTGTAAGTTATTTTATACATTTCACTTCAGCCTTATTCTAGTCCATTGCCAATTTCCTGAACCAGTTCTACATGTCGAATATTCTCCACAGAGAGTTCTTAAGCAGTATTGTATTCTTGTTTATTATTACTAAACACTTATTTTAGTAAGTGTAATTAGGGGCCACCTACAAACCTGTGAGATTTTTATTTTAAGAAAATAAGCCATGGTTTCTCTAAAAATGAACCTTTTTATATCAAATGAAAGAAGCACTTCAATTTGCTAGCTAATTTTAATAGTTGTTTTTTTGTTGTTGTTGTTGGTTTGGTTTTTTTGTGTGTGTTTTCCCTGTTTGAAGTGGTGAGATACTTGTCATTCTAAAAGTCAGAACGTGAGACCTGTTTACTATGTTGTATTGTCATCACTTTTTGAGAGGGCCTGATCTGAAATGTCACTATAACATGAAGAGTTTTTTGTAACAAATGAGTGAGGAAAAAAAAACTTAAGGTTCTGATTCTATCACAACTATTTATTGTATGTCTTCTCCATGAGCCTTGGTAGTGTCATCTCTGATTGTTATAGGTTGATTTGATCTGTTGTTTGTCAAGTAAGTAATTTTTTCCCACACTTCCTAGTCCTTGGGATCTGGTTGACCAGATATCATCAACATTAACTCTGGGAAGTATGTCTTGTAGCAGATTTTTTTCATGTTTATATGTAAACATCAATAATCCTTGAAGGATACAACTGGAAAGAGATACAGAAAACAATCTCATTTTATCTTACAAAATTCCCTCTTTTAATGGGAGCACACAGGCTTCCAGAAGTCGGTTAACTATTTGACCTTGGAAGAAGTCTCCTTCCCAGGCCACAGATATACTTGGTTAATAAGTAAAACCAATAGATGAGTTTGGGGATAGAAAAATGTTTAGATTTTTTCCATTTAGTTTTTCAGTGTATAAGCAATAAGAAATTTAAAGTCATCTTGAGTCGATTCTTTCATAATTATCTCTGAATTACAGAATGGTAAGACTTGGAGAAAATACTAATATTTAAAGCAGCTGAAATAACTTTTCAACCTGCTGAAAACCTGTAACATTAATGAAAAAAATTAATAGAATCCGTAATGTTACCACTATGGGACAATTCATTTTTTACCTCTTAGAAGATTTGGTTTCTGACCATACTGGTTTGTGTTCAGCTTTTTATTTTGAATTAGACAAATTCATAAAAGTGTATTTTTTTAAGCTCAAAATATTAGAAAAGCTAAATTTGTATTTTAGTTCAGTATCCTGGCTCTTGAATTTCATGAAGTGTGGGGGTTCTCTTTGGAGTAGGAGTCTAAGTTCTACCAGGGGGAAGCAGTGAGCCTGAGCATCTTGAACATAAGGCAAATTATATGACTCTGGTTTAGTTGCTCTGAACTTGTACATCCATCTCTCATTGGAGCTATTCAGGACAGCCTAATATTCTGGTAGCTTCTACTTTCTCTTTACTTTGATGAATAACCAAGAGTTTCCTGTATTTGACTTTGTTATTTGATGGCATCTCTGCTTACCAATTTTACAAAATAATTAGGGAGAAAGTAAATCTATTATACTGAGGTGTTTTTACTTTGAAATTATCTTCAGTACTGCCCTTTGTTTTTTTTTTTTTTTAAAAAAGAAAGCCTTTTAACAAAAACCACAATTACATTCTGGTACCTTGGCATAATTATTAAGATTCCCCGCCCCCGCAACTGACACATGCTGAAAAAAATTTTTTTTTCCTTTTTACCAGTTGTGGACATCGGATACCCAAGGAGATGAAGCTGAAGCAGGAGAAGGAGGAGAAAATTAACCGGCCTTCAAACTTCTGTCTGCCTCATTTTAAAATTTACACAGTAGACCATTTGTCATCCATGCTGTCCCACAAATAGTTTTTTGTTTACGATTTATGACAGGTTTATGTTACTTCTATTTGAATTTCTTATTTCCCATGTGGTTTTTATGTTTAATATTAGGGGAGTAGAGCCAGTTAATATTTAGGGAGTTATGTTTTCATCTTGAGGTGGCCAATATGGGGATGTGGAATTTTTATACAAGTTATAAATGTTTGGCATAGTACTTTTGGTACATTGTGGCTTCACAAGGGCCAGTGCTAAAATTCTTCCATGTCTAAGTAAAGAAAACTGCCTACATATTGGTTTGTCCTTGTGGGGAAAAAAAGGGATAATTGGTTCCAGTCATAGGTGTGGTTGTTGTGGGTACTTAAAGTTTTGGAGCACTTAGGGGGCTGTAGTAGAAATGGATGTCCTATGGATAACACATGTTGAACCATGTGTGTATCTGTGGAATACTCAATCTTGATGTGCACACCTTTAACTACAGCTGCAGAAGTGTTCCTTTAGTTGTGACCCAACTTACTCTGGATAAGGGCAGAAACGGTTCACATTCCATTATTTGTAAAGTTACCTGCTGTTTGCTTTCATTATTTTTTGCTACACTCATTTGTATTTAAATGTTTTAGGCAACCGAAGAACAAATGTACAAGATGCAGTAAATGAATTGCTTGATATTCATTACTTTATGTATATCAAGTACAGCAGTAAAACAAAAAAAAAAAAACCCATGTATTTAACTTTTTTAGGTTTTTTTCCCGCTTTTGTGATTTTTTTTTTTTGTTTTGATACTTGCCTAACATGCATGTGCTGTAAAAATAGTTAACAGGGAAATAACTTGAGATGATGGCTAGCTTTGTTAATGTCTTATGAAATTTTCATGAACAATCTAAGCATAATTGTTAAGAACACGTGTATTAAGTTCATGTAAGTGGAATAAAAGTTTTATGAATGGACTTTTCAACTACTTCTCTACAGCTTTTCATGTAAATTAGTCTTTTGGTTCTGAAACTTCTCTAAAGGAAATTGTACATTTTTGGAAATTGATTCCTTATTCCCTCTTGGCAGCTAATGGGCTTTACCAAGTTTAAATACAAAGTTTATCATAACAAACTACTACTAATAGAACTACTGTTCCCAACCACATCCCATGCTCCTCCCCCCTGCCCCCCCCCAAACCCCCCTGGGAAGAAAAGGTAATTTTTTTTTTTTTTTAAGAGGTGGGATTGATTAGAAAAAAGGTAATGTGTTCCATTTAAAATTTTAGTATATGACATTTTCTAACTTTGGAAGTCAAATGTTCTTGGCCCATCATGACATTGGGTAGCATTAACTAAGTTTTGTGCTTCCAAATCACTTGTTTTTAAGAATTTCTTGATACTCTTATAGCCTGCCTTTCTATTTGTCAGGGGCACAGGATTACCTTTTTTAGCTTTCTCTCGTCACCAACCATTCCTACTTGGTGGCCATGTACTTCAGAAAAAAGGCCGCATGATCTTTCTGGCTCCACTCAATGTCTAAGGGATACCCTGCTTCCTTTGCTTGCATCCCACAAACTATTTCCCTTACCCTATTTACTGCATCAAGTCTCCTTAGTTGATGAGGTGGTGTTACCTCCCTGTAAAACTCTACCTATCCTGAAAGGTCTGTCATTGGCTGCTTTAAAAATCCTTCTTCCTCTTTTCTTTAAATAAAGGGGCTAAGTTATACCCAAAGCTCACCCTACAGACTATATTTCCTCAGTACCTTGCAAAAACACCAAACAAAAATACCATTTTAAAAGAGGTGTATTTTTTTTTTTCTTTTAGAATGTAAGCTCCTCAAGAGCAGGGACAATGTTTTCTTGTATGTTCTATTGTGCCTAGTACACTGTAAATGCTCAATAAATATTGATGATGGGAGGCAGTGAGTCTTGATAATAAGGGTGAGAAACCAAAATCCCAAACACTATTTTGTTGTTTGTTTTATTATGACCTCAGATTAATTGGTAAATATCAGCTTTTGGGGACAGTTGTCTCAAATATTCAATTAAAAGTGCAATGGAGGCCTTGGGGTTTCCTTTTCAAGGAGAAAAGATCTCATGCCTTTGGGACAACATCATAATGCATCTTCACTCACAGCTCTTTTTTTTTTTTTCCCCCCCTTGATTCTCCTGACCTCCAGGCCAAGGACATGAAATAATCCATAGTTTAGGAGAATTAAGCTAGACTGAGGAGATGGATCTCATTCAAGTTAAATTATAAGTAAAATCTAAAGCTTGTCACATATGCATATTTATGTGTGTCAGTCATCTAAACTAGTTTGATTCTGAAATAAATTGTGATAATACATTAATAATAGGTGTTCATATGTTTCTACGTAGTAGTTCCCAATAGATGACTCCAACCTGGGATTTTTTTTTTTTTTTTTTTTTTTTTTTTTTTTGCCTTGGATTTGAAAAATAAAATTTTTGTAATTTATTTCTTTAATTGTCCCAAATTCAGGCTTCATGTCTGTTTTTGTTATGTAACATGTAGCTCCAGGAGTTTGGAGAACTCAACGTGTGTGTGTGTGTGTGTATGTATGTGTGTGTGTAGCATTGGAATTGTTAAATATGTATGTATACTCAATTTAGAGATGTCCTTTGAGAGTAGAGCAGCAGTGTGATCAGTTGAAAGTATGACTTTGCTGCAGCTCTAGCCTGTGGTCTTGGCTTTTTAAAATAGCTGTTACTTTGTTCTATAAAGATCATGGAAATGTCAGGGTGGGCTGGTTCAACAGGATTAAAAGTTTTCAGGTGGTTTAACTATAGGGGTTCAACTTTTCTTCTGTCTTCCATCCAAAATAGTCATCAATCCTGCCTTGGCCCAAAGCATATTTTAAAATTAGTTGAGGCCAGTTTGGAGTCTGCAGTCTTAGATTATTTGTAGTCATATCTCAACTTGAGGGTGAAACCTTGATTGAATAATTTGGGCGTTCTGTCAATGGTGAGGTGTTTAAAAAGCTTTCATAGACTGTAGATCCAAGGAGTTTGTGGAGACTTCCAAAAGGGGGAACATCATTTAAATGGTTCCTGTCTCCATTAGGGGAGAATGGCGCTTTATTTGGATGAAAGTATACCACGGGGGAGATACTGTGAGAGAGACGACAATGCAGTAGGAACTTTCTAACTGGTGCTGTGTGTCCAGAGAGAGTCTTATGTAATCCTGTGGGTGTCCCGCCTTTTGGTGTCTCTGGGCCACACATGAAATACATTGAGATGTGTAATCACAAAAGTTTTGATTTACAATGTGTTGGAACACATTCATAGGCATCCTTGGCTTGCGGGTCGGACACTCCTGCTAGGAAAAGGTCAAACCTTAAATAGTTGTGTTGTATTTTGTCATACCACATAGGAAATTACTGTGGTAGAAGTCAGATATCTAGTCTTATGTTGGTAACTGAGACTGGGGATTTGTAAAATGGCCAGATTTGGATCCTTCTCTGAATGTGGAATTTATGTCAATGAAATACTTTAGTTATCGTATGTCTCATAGTGATGAAAATCTCATTGGTTAATTCCAGTTCTTTTAAAAGACTAGGAGCCTAAAATTAAGATATTTTGGGGTCTAGGTATATAAAGAAACTTCACAAGAGGCATCTAAGGAAGATGATGCTCTTGGGTGACAAAGTGGTGTTCAAGAACCCATCACAGTAAATCTTTAAAAACTCAAAAATTGACCTTAAATTTTCCACCCTTTTTTTTTTTTTTTTTTTTTTGGTGGGGGGGGGGGGGGGGGGGTCAAAAAGCGAAAGCAGGGAGAGGGGGTGGAAGGGGGGGGGGGGGTGGGGGGGGGGGGTTTGTTGGGGGGGGGGGGGGGGGGGGGGGTTTTCCCCCTTTCCCCCCACTCCGGGGGGGGGGCATGAGGGGGGGAGGGTTTTTGTGGGGCTCTTCTTTTTTTTTTTTTTAAAAAAAAACTCTTTCCTTAATCAAGAACCGACCTCAAGTCACCTTCCATTGATTGCTTGTGAGTTTCCATAAGTGACAACTTGCTAGCCTCTGAGCCCCTTATCTATTAAAAGGATTCTAATAATGGGCTCTGGAATGAGCCTCCGAGGGGAAGGGAATTTGTAAGGACCTGGGATAGCAAAGATGGGGCTGGAGGGCTCGGGCTAGTTAAGGGCTTTTGCTATTTTTTGAGCCTCTTGTTCATCAGGTGTACAAGTTGAAAACAACTGAAAAGAAGAGATTATTTCATCTCTAGCACCTCAGAATCTAGTGTCTTTCAAAGGCAGCTTAAAAGTCCATTGAGGATTTATCCAGTCAAGTCTCAAGTAACTAAGTGGGTTTTCATGATAAACACAGAACAGGAAATAAATATCAAAGACATTTCTCACATTGAACACACACCCTCCAGCCACACCTGCACAATTAGCCAGCAACTCCAAGGATCAAATCCCTTCTAAAGCATCTTGATGGGAGACTTTAAAAATCCCAAGTTTACCCTATGTGCCTGTGTTTGCTGGTCCTTTGGAAGCAGTACTGTGGAAAGCTCTTACATTTGTGTAGGGCTAGAAACTTTTAAGCCATTTTCATCAGGAACTTCTCACAACCACCCTGTGACGTTAATGGCACTGCTGCTAGTCTCCCATTTTGTTGACGTTGAAGAAACTAGACAAGATAACTGGTGTGGCCTATATTAGACACCCAGACTGGCCAAGCAAAGCTGGACCCTGGATTTAAAGGGGACAAGCAGACCAGATTAAGAGAAGGGCCTGAACAGAGGGTCAGGGTCTGGAACACGGAAGGCATGTCTGGAGAAACCCAAGGTTCGTACATGGAAGCAAAGAGTGGTGGGCATGGAGAGGGCTGGGGACAGACCTAGAAGATGGGTAGGATGTTCCAACAGGAGTGACAAATGTCCTCAACTCCAGGGAGGGAAGGACGCAAGCTCTGTAGCGTTGGGGGAGGGAGATAGCAGAGTAGTTGAGGCAGTTCTGAACTACCAGGCCCTGAGGCTTGAGCTGCTTCCACCATCCTCTGCTTCTGTAAACTAAGAAGGCCAAGTCCCATTTATGCTCCTGTGTACAGGCAGACCTCCAAGGTACTGAGGATTTGGTTCCAGGCCATCAAGATCAAGTGGATAACGCAAAAAGAGTTGTAATCATTTTGCTAGTAGAGGGTCTTGCCTACAATGTGTTTAAAAAAAAAAAAAAAAAAGGTCTGCCTGCATTATGATAGAGAACATCTAAAATTAGACTAATAAGACACAAAGAATTATTAATGCACCCCACATGGTGGGGTTTCGGGTCACAATGGAGGACATGTTTTGTACCCTCCCTGGAACCTCACAAGTTTCACCACCGGAGGTCCTCTAGTGACCTCGTATTTCAGCCACAGTGGTGTGGCTTGATGGGACAAATCAAACTTGCCTGAATGGAAAAGTTCCAATGTGACAGAAGATCTCAGCCCCTGTTCCCCCACGGCTCCTTTACGGCAGAAGGCTCCAGCAAGGGCCACCGACCAGGAGGAGAGGGAGCCCTGCTTCTCAAGTTTCTGGCCATTCTGCTGTGAGGAAATGTCAGGAAAAAGGACTGTCACCTGCCAGGCTTAAGCACTGGAGAAGAGGGTGACCTCAACCCTGTCCAGTCTCAGGGTTGAAGAACTACCTAGTTGAATCATTCATTATGTAAGAAGCACACATTCATTCAGCATCTAATAAGAAGCTGCTCTGGGCCAGATCACTGCAGAAGCTGAAATAAAAGGCACAGGCCCTCACAGTCTGATCAGTATTCAAGCAGAACTATGATTAAACAATACAGTAAGATAAAGAGGGGAGCAGAGAGGATGGGGTCCTAAGCCTTACATGTAACATTTCTTCTGAGTGGTCATTTGGCCTCTGTATGGACCTCCAGGGGCCTGTGTCGGTCTTCAGAGGTTGCCCATTGATTTACAGAAGTTCCATCCTAAGATAGTCCCTCCTCTTACAGACAGAAGTTGACCCACAGGTCCTGGTTTTAGGCACCAGCAGGTTAGGTGTCTCCTGTTATTTAGTTGTTGGGTCCTCAAGAACATACATCTTTTTGGGCTGGGGATGGCATATCCAGTTTGGTTTCCCTTCATTGACTTCAAATGAATATCCACAGCCTAATCCTTTCTCTTAATCTAAGGCTCCAGTGACCAACTACAGAAACCAAGACTTAGTCACAGCTCTTTAAGTGAGCAATCAGCATGCAGTTTCTCTTTCTTCTGTCACACTCTGGCTCCTAATTTTCCTCATGATCTCTTAGGGATCCTCAAAAGGGAATTAATTCCTTTATCTTCTATTGCTTAAAATTAACCTATAGAACTCTGTGAAGAAAATGCTTCCCCCCACCCCAAACTCCACATACACTTTTAGGCCAAAGAGGAAGAGAATTGACCTCAAATCCTCCCTGTTTTAACTCTCACCTGCCCATCAGCCCAGGGGAGAAGTTACTTCTTGGGTGGGCAGGCTGTTCCATGTTCAACACCACTTACTGTACAGATGGGCAGAACAGGAAGAAGATTCTCAGAAGTGCTTGAAAGCTTCCAAGAGTGGGGTGCTGCTTTCCCAAGAGATGCCACTCAAAGAGTAGTTCAGAGAATGACGGCGTATCAATGACAGAAGGAACCTCAGAGATCTTCAAGTTCAACCCTTTCATTTTACAAATGAAGAAATTGAGAACCCAAGAATGGAAGTGCTTTGTTTAAGGTGAGGCAGCTGGTGGGTGGAGAGGAGGGAAGTGTCCAAAGGTGAGATAAGGATTTCCTGAGCATGGAAATACACTTTCAGGTACAGCCTGCTGCCCCTGAGACCTGCAATTGTCTCTGTAGAGACAGCTGCCTTCCAGCTCCCACAAAAACCCCAGATGACTTGAGCTGCCTTTAGGTGTTGGCCATATTCTTTTACTTGTAAGGATG